CGTGAGTGAGTAACACTCAGGCCCGGAAATGGCCGCCCCCGTGTGCTGCCTCTCTAACTTTCGGCCGGGGGAAGTAAAGTCGCAAAGGGCCTTTGCTGGTTCTCAATGAGTTGGAATGGCCCCATTTGGATCGCACCTTTCCGGACAAGACCGTGTTATTTTGAACCACGGCTCATTTCCCAAGGGTGTAATCCCAGGGTGTACCAAAACCCTCAGAGGTGTGACCCCTATGCAACAATGCCCTGTGGTGGCCTTTAAAGGAATCCCAATCCCTAGGTTCATTCCCAACATCCGAAACGGTCATTCCCTACTGAGGATCAGCCAGTTTAAGGGCAAACAGGTTTCACTACTCATTTTTGCTAGGTCCTCAACAAGGGCACCCTTTTGTTCTGTAGTCCATTTTAGTAGGGGAACCCTCCCCAAAAAGAAGGTTAAAGGCTGTAAAAGGGCACCAATCGCTGGGGGACCTAGGTTACGTCCGCCACCGCATCCAGCTTCGTTTTCATCCCGGCGCATCACGCGCATGCATCCCGCAGGGCCTCCTGGCCATCCTGAGGCATTTCACATTTGGGTGTGGCTCAAAATGAAACGATCGGAGGGGCAAACCGCAGGTTTTGGTCCATGTTTCCACTTGCCAGAGTTCCGTTTTGGTACCGGTTGTTTGTGCCACAGCCATTTCAGGCTTCCTTGAAGGAGAATTCATCCAAAAGAGCCACGTGCAGGAGAGAGGCGGTTGGAGCGTTTTTTTTGGGTGGAGAGAGGCGGTTCAAAACACAAGCAATCAGCTGGACGTGATGTTTTCACCGGCCCCCCTGGTAAAGTTAAGAAATCCACCGCTAACATGGCCCAAGGTTTGTATAGGCTTTACTATCCCGGCTTTTCATCCAGCACAAGCGCCTACAAAACCGGCCGCCAGGGTTTTTGGGGCACCCAGTCATTTCTTTGGTCGCAAGGGGCCCAGTGGTTGCTTTGGTGTCCAACAAGCTTCGACGAAGCTTCAGGTACCTTTGGTTGGCAGCTCACTTGCCGAGTGGATGGCCCAAAAAAAGTCCGAACTTTATTTCCCAAAAAGTTTAAAGTTTACGAACTCAGGAAGTGAGGCAGAGGCTATCCCCAGCGAAAATGGACAGTTGGCGTGCAGCGCTCTGTTGCTGGAGCTAGATGTCACCGTAGCCATTTTGTCTTTGGTTTGGTTTGGTGTTTTGGGGATTTGAACCTCGCTTCCTTTTAGAGCGAAATGGGGATGGTAGCTCCATAACATCCAAACCACCAAATGGAAACTCATAAAACACACGCTCCCTTTTTGGGATCAAACAAGGGATGGGTGGAATCCACTGAACAGCTTCTGTGAAACTTGTGCGGTTCGTCGACTTGTCTGTCGACCTTTTCAGATTCTGTCCAAGGACTGCTGGTTTCGAGTGTCCTGCCTAAGTTGCCAAACGCTTTTAGACCTGCAATCAAAAGAGCCAATCCTCCGAAGCGCCTCACTTCCCGAGAGCGGTAAAGTACAACTCCGACGGTGCGCTTTCGATTAGTGGTTTCTAGAAGTTCTCCTCCAAGAGGGTTTTACTTGCGAAAAGCCGGGCGCCCTCTTGCAGTTTGAGTTGGTTGCCAGTAAGGAGGCTTAGTTCCGACCAGTTTCTTGGACCATTTTGATGGGGAACCTGAGCTTCTCTTCGACTTCACTCGGACTTGTTTTTACCGTGCGGCAACCTGCGCTTCCCCAGTTGCACCATGGGCTTGAAATAAACCCCATAGCTCGCCATACAAGAACATGCGCAGTTGTGCTTTTCACTTTTCTCCGCAACATCCATCTGCAAGTTTTACTCTAATTCCAAAACCTGAAATCAGGGCTCCCTACAAGTATGGACTCCTAACCCAAAAACCCAAATCTGCATTGCTTAAAACCACCTCAACAGGAAATTGGCGTTTCTTTTGAGAAATGGGTGTTTTTTCCTGCTGCACGCTTCCTTCGACACCACCAAAAAAAGGGGGGCCGCACCCTTCGCCTCAAAAACAAAAAAGACGAGGCGCCCCCTTTAAGGGGCCTTTAAAGGGGTAAAAGCGACCACGCCCCCGCCCCCCCCCCCCCCCGGGCCCCTCTCTCTTCTTCTGGGAAAAAAAGAAAATCCGGGCCGTCCGGCGCGGCGGCGCCCGCACTTGCGGCAGAAGATCGAGTCCGAGGCGAAAAGGTTCCCGCAGCTCCCGCAAACGCCGCCGCCGCTGCGTGGGTCCTCTCCCGGGCGAAGGACGCGAACGAAGCTGCGCCGAGGCGACCCCGCGGATGATCTAAGAAAGAGCTTGCCCATTTCGGGCCTGGAAATTAAAAGGTGATCAGCTTTCGGGACCTCTACCAGAAACAAAGGCCGAAAGAGTCCCTCTCGCAGCTCCATCAGTTGTGAGCTGCATTTGGCTCTGAGGCCTCAGGTTGAACCTGGCAGCTCTTGTCTCTCAGCTCACGGAGAACATCTCGTCCAACTCTTTCAGTGCCGAGACGAATCGCTTGTTCCACCTCGCCCTCCATCGATCCGCTTTTGCGTTAGAGGCCAGGTTCGGGAAGAACTTCGGAGTGACCTGATTTCCAGCCCTCCGATACGTCAATGCCTCGTGAGCAGCCCTCTTGCGTGTTTCTCGACCAGCCAAGAGGCCAGCACCTCAAGTGCCAATTTCGACTCCGTCGTGGTCGTCTCGCCATGGACAATGAGCAGCCTTGCTCTCCCGACTCGTGTGCAATGCATCCACTCCCCACTGGAGAACCTGGACGCCTCCAGCTTCTGGCTCATCCGTTTTTGATCACGGCCTTGTCGAACTTCCAGCAGGACGTTGAACAGGTCGATTCGCTTTAAGAACAAGAACTACCCTCCCCCCATGGATGATCTAAGTAAAAAAGGGTGAGAAGATGAGTCAAATGATAAATATGGACTTTCAGTGAAGCTCCCCATTAAACAACGACTTGGTTGCAGGTACAAAGGCGGGGATCCTGCCCAAGAAACGGGGCTAGATGGGAACCACATGTCTCACAGGAAGGTGGGTTTGGTCCTGTCCAAGATTCCACCAGCCCGTGTTCTGTCTTATAAACAAAATAACATAGATATTTGGCCATGGGTCAAAATCCAAATCGTACCCCCAGTGAACATCCCAATCCAACCACTAAAATAGGTCCTAAAATGGGTGGTGGATTCACCTACCAACCAAAATGGGATCCCAAAACGGTTTTGACAACCACAGCCATTTGGTGCCTCTTCCAGGCGATTCCATGAAAGCTTTCGGGACTGGAAGACTTGGTTGTTGCAGTGGAAAGTGGAACAGGCCAGAAAAGTCGACCCCATTTTTTGGCGTCCTCCTGTCGAGAGCATGGACTAAGGGTACCCGATTTTTGTTGCTTTTCGGTTGTCTATCTTAGTAGGGGAACCGAATCTCCCGCCCAAAAAAGGGGTTAAAAAGGATCACCAAGCGCTGGGGGACCTAGACAGGTTGTCTGCCACTGAAATGGTTGTGCCAAAAAGTGACTCAAGCCCAGGAACTCAGGCAGTGAGTTTTGGGCTGGCGGGAAGCAAAGAGAAGGACACCAGCCAGCTGAGATGGGTCCCCAATTTGGAGCACCCAAGCCATCCCCAGGAAATTATCCAATTCTCCAAGCCCAACCTGCCCCCTTGCTGTTTTTTTCTTCTTTCGATTTTGGAGGAAATCCTGAAAACCGGTTGTATTACCTAAAGGGGAGGAACCCACTTGGCCAGTCGAATCTTTATCTGATCTCATCCAAAGGCTTTGGATCAGGTAATGGCGGGACAAACAAAAAACAAAAACAAAAAGGGGATTGGGTGCGATCAATAACCGGCTGTGGCTAAAAAAACGGTACCAAAATGGAACCAGGGTAAGTGGAAACATGGACCAAAACCTGCGTTTTGCCCCTCCGATCGTTTCATTTTGAGCCACACCCAACCCGATCCATTTTTTTCCAGGCGCAAGGTCCACCTGTGACAGCCCCTTTTTGCTTATAGGGGGGAATCCAGCCGAGGCCATACCCCAGAAACAACAAATATGGAAAGAACCTTAATCGAAAACGAAAAAAAAAACAGAAAGAAAAACAACAACAACAAGAACAAACAGGGACTACTGGGGGACCTAGGCTTATAGGGTAGGCTTGTAGGGGGGGGGGGGGAATCCAGTCGAGGCCGTACCCCAGAAACAAAATCTGAAAAAACACAAAACACCAGGAAACCAGTTTTTTTTTCTGCCGGGTTTTGGGGCCCGGCTTCTCTCGTCTCTCCTTTTCGACTTTCAGGCTTAAGGCAAATCCAGAAGCCAGGCGGCCTCTTTCGCCGGGCCAGAAGGCGAAAACCGTCGGGAACCCGCCGCTCAAAAACACGGAAAAAAAACACGAGACACGCGCCGGTGGGAAATCCCCGAACCAACCCCCAAGTGGAAATTAAAAAACACGGACTCCCAGCCGAGACTGACGTGGGGAACTATAACACCTGAACCCTGCCATGTTTTTTTTCTTTTTCGGGCTATCTTTACTTTCACGTTGGGGGGGGGGGGTAGCTGACTTCATGCGGCCATGGGTAAAGGTTAGTGGGTGAAGCCGATATAAACAATGACACCTGCAGAAAAAAGGGATCCCCAGGGCACACAACAAGATCAAGGCATGGCATGTACACGGTTCGGTCTTTTTCAAGATGGTCGTCCAAAATTCATGTCCGTTGGATAGAGGGTACCAACGTCAGGGGCGCCCAGCGACCCCAGAAAAGAAGCGGAACCCTTTTCCACTTCGGAATCCAATTCCATCTTCCACAAATCAACACGACCCCGAAAGAAATAAAGAAAAGAAAGGGCCGTTTCGTAGCCTCAAAGGATGGCTGGGGGGGGGGGGGTCCATGTTCATTTGGAGAAGTCCTGAACCCATCACACAGAAAGGGACGAACACAGAGCTGGTCTTGGCTCTGCCTCTCGAGCGTTTACTGCAAGGCTTCCGTCCTCTCTTGGCATCCAGGAATTCCTGGCCGGCAGAATCTCTTCGAGACTTGTGAAGGCAACCGTCGGGGTAAGGGGTCACTTAAACGCTTCAATCTACATGCGATTGACTTTGCAAAAGACAATGCTAGTGGGCCCTTTGCCTGTTGTTGGGGGGCTGACTCCTGCAACGACTTTTATCCCTTCAGCAAAACCTCAATTGTCCACAATTCAGCTTCCCTGGAAACTGGTGCTTCGGATTTGTGGTTTGGAGGTTGGAGGTTGGTTCCTCATTCATTCTCTGCCAGAACCTGGCCGCCTTCCCATAGCCGCCGAAACTTCAAAATTTGCTTTTTCGCCCCCCTGAACCAAAAGAACAATACGCCCAGTAGTGAAATCGATTCCCTTTTAAAGCAACCAGGGAAAATAAAACAACCATCCATTTCAGCAAAAGGAAGTTCATGAGATGAGCTGTAGTGTATGATGTTGATCCCAGATGAAAATAACCTCTGCAAAAAGTGAGCAACTGCCTGATGATCGGGGGGCAGTCTACGGCTTAGGTTCCCCCTCTTAAGGCCAAACAGGGTTTGCCTACTTGGGGAGATCACGCGTAGAAACTCTGCAAGGAACTAAGTTGCTCTGTCACTTCAACGAGCCCACCTGAGCTGCGATTCAACGTACCATGTGGCGTTTCTCAGCTCATACTCTGTACTTGGACTCTTAGGGTCTCTGGGTGGTCAACAGGGTGTCTGGAAAGCAAGGAAACCATAGCGACCCCCTTTGAGTTTCCGTTTCGGTAGAGGAAAAACAAATGAGCTATTATCTATTTAACACCCAGTCCTGCAACGGGTCAATGCCCGACCATCCCCCGCCCCAAAACGCGTGAAGGCGAGGGACCAGCTTCGACGGTTTGAAACCCCCTGAGTTGCCAACTTGGAACTGACACACCCAAATGGTTGTGGCTCAAAACGAGGGTACCATCCAACTCCAGTTGGCATCAAACAAAGGAACCATAATTTTGCCCCCTGAGCAAAAGGTGGATCACCCGAAAAACGCCACTTGATTCCAAAAGGTCAAACGCAACGCCGATTTGTTCTTACCAAAGACAAGCCAAGTGGGTGTCTTGGGGAAGTGCATTTGGGGAAACCGGTTTTTTGATTTCAGCTTGGGAAATTCAACTTGGGAAGCCTATCATGACTCATGTTGCTTTTATCGTACCCCACATCCCTATTCTAATTCTTTGGGCCACAAGTTGTTGCTGTGCTTTTTATTTGGCCACCCCCAAACTCCCTAAAGGTCGCGCACTCAGTGCTCAGAGACCCGAACTCGCTTTTTCGTTCTTGGGCCCTTATCTCATCATTAGACTTCTTCACTACACATGGATCTGGGTGAATTATAATACTTCACCAACCTGCAAAAAGGTGGTTGGGGGGCTATTCCCCACATAAACCACCAGATTGCCTAAAGCGAATCGCCAAATGGTTCGTAACCCCTCAAATGCACAGTGGATGTCCATTGGGGAAAAACACAAAAACGTCATCCGACTTTTTTGTTGGTTGAGTTCACAGGAATCGGCACCTTTCCCAAAAAAAAGTCGAAAAAAGGAAGCAACAAAGACCCCATAACCCGCCTTGCTTGCCCGGAGTCTCTATGACCCTTGAGAACCGGGGTCATTACCCAAAAGAAAGATTCGGGTCATGACCCCAAAGGGTCGGGTCATGGAGAGTCTACCTTGGGACAGTCCAAAAATAGATCCGTGCTGCCAATTCATAAACGGTGTCGCCTTGCTTTTCAAACAACCCCACAAAGGGGGTAGCCCTCAAAACAGACCCACGCCACTTTTGCTCGTGTCCCCACTGGGGTCATGGAGAGTCTAGGCAGAGCTATGAACTAAAAACGGGTGAACTTCATGCGCCCGTCCTCACTTGCGGACCCTCAGGAACGGCAGGCCTTGGTCGCAGTCGTGCGGATGGGGGTTTCCAAAGCCTAGAGTACTCCATGGCATTCCATGGCTACTGAGTATCGGTTTGGTTCAAGGGCAACAAAACGGTTGACGGCTTCTTGCTGTGGTTCAAGGGCACTTGTCAATTGCATATTCCCCTTAAAAAAAATACTATAGATTCTGCAATAGCTCCAACACCTATATAACATGAGAGATATCCAGCAATCATGGTGAGCTTGTTTTACCCCCTGAATCTTATATACGTACCATACCCTTAGAAAGGGTTTGGCGTGAGGCCCCCTTTTCGCAAGCAGCCTGTGCTCTTTCCATGGACAGGCTTTCAAATGTCTGATCATGACTGTACTGGGCTGTCCGTTTTCAGATCCCGTGCCAAAAGTTTAACCTTTAGTGAGTTACGTGGAACCCCCCACTCAAACTTTCCCGGTTCATTGGCGACATCATCAACTGCAGAAACCGACATCTGGGAGCATGAGCTGCGCTGCACGCAAGCCCACGTGGCTTACATCCACTCGTGAGGCAGGGAAGTGTTTGAAGAGCTGTAGTTTACTATTGGCCCACCATATCAAGCAAAGTGCCGAGGAGACACAGGTCGCTTGCCCGTTGTTTTGTCGAAAACAAAATAACACCCTGCTCAATTGCTCGTCCCGAAGACTCAGTCAGTTAAATTGGCAATTGGTGTTAAACATCCCAGAAACCTACTCTGATCAGTTAAGCCCGTGCCGTGCCTGCAACCCTCGGTATGAGCAGTCTGTCTGCCCAACCTTTTGACCCTCGGTTCGGTGGAAGCAGCTGGTTGCTGGTGCAGTTGCTGCTTGCTCTGCCGGCCTTCCGCGGACGAAAAAACACCCGGCGAGCAGGAAGGAAGATGCTGGTAGTACGCGCAGCTCTTGTCACACGTGGAAAACAAAAGCTGGTCGTTGGTTCCTCAAAATGCATCAGGCGAAGCTCCTCATTCCGGGCTGGTGAAGAAGCCAAGGCTTGGATGCGGCCAGGCAGACATTGACCAACGCGAACAAAACAAGCCAAGGTGATATCTCCCCTTGAAACATCACCCCAAGAATCCCCCGCTTCAGCCCTCTTTCCTTGGCCCAAAGGGGTACACGAAAAGAAAGTCGCATATGTCCGGTTTCAGCCTCATGTTTTGGCGACGCAGCTTCTGAGGATCGAGACCCAAGGCTGGGAGTCAAAACCCGGCGGCTCTTCCAAATCCGAGTGCCGAGGGCGCCGCAGGCTGTCCTTCTTTCTTCTGGCCTTTCGGTGAGCCGTGCGCTTGAAACCACCGGAGCCGAACAGCCAAGTTCGATAGGGGGACCCCTTAAGGCGAACCGCACGGAGAACCCCCCCCCCCCCGCCCCTTTTTAGGGTACCCTCCCACATTTTGACACATACCTCAAATACTTGTGTGTTTGGAACAGGACTAAAGTTGTCATGCCCGTCGCACCAAGTCAATGACCACGGTAAAAGGTAGGCGCTGGCCCCGGAATCCAACAGCAGCACGTGTTGACAGAGCGACCCACCGTTGTGTGCCCCAGCAGTAGTCGCAAGCCCTAGGCTAAACAAAAGCACGCCCGGCTTCCGACTTTGAAGCCCGAAAAACAGTCACGGGTTCTTCGTTCAGTCTACCCTAACAGGGCCTGTCTTTCGTTGAGGATACCCCTTTTTGGAAAAACCAATAGGAAACCCGCTAGTCTTGGGTGAGGAGTCCCGCAAAAACAACACCCCGGTTAGTCATATGGCTGTGAGTCAAAAATAGGTGCCCAAAAAGGAATCCTGATAAATGGAAACATCGGCTAAAACCTGCGGTCCCATGGTGCTCAATTGTTTGGCCCATGCCCATATTGCCATATCTTCTAAAGACACCCTAGACCCTAGCTCGCCACCAGCACCGGTCCGTGCCTGCTGGCGTGCCAGCTCCATGCGCTTCCGCTTGGCCTCTTGGGTGGGTCCGGCAAATGAGGGCTGGTTCAAAATGGAGGCTTTGCAAACACATAACATCATTTTGGAGACCCACACAGCCCGACTATCATAGTTTAACCCCCCTTCAAATCAAAGCACAAAGGATGGGCTAAGGCCGCGCAAACCCCAATTTAAAAATATATATATATACAAGCTGGTTCACCAACTCCGAGCACGGCACCTCGCATGCAGCCCCGGGATCAACGGTCAAAAAACTGGATGAGTTGGAACATCAACTCACCAATCAGGTCAAGGAAGCAGTCCAACGAGAAATCGCAAAACAGCCCGACATGGATGTGGACATGCACAACAACAGAGTCGACAGGCTGGAGACCTCAATCTCGGAGCTCACCTCGCAGCAGCAGCGCTTTGAGGAATGGTTCCAACATGCCGGCCAACGTCACAACGAGCTCCAAGGACAGGTGTCTTCTCTTTGCCTCACTGTTGAGCAGCAGCAGGCGGACATCTCCCAAATCAAACAGGAGGTCCACGAGCAGCCCACGGCCATCCACCATGCGGTCAGCAACGCCATGCAATCGGTGCAGGCCAACCTTCAGACACAGCTCAGCTCGCAGTTCCAAATGCTGCAGGACTCCTTGGCCGCCTTCTCCGCAAATGCAGAGCACGCGGACAAGAAGCATCGTGGAGAATGACTAGGTCAACGTGGGCCCTCCCCTCGACCAAGGAGGGCGCCACCATGGCTAAGCGGTCGATTTCGGATTTGGACGCAGCTCCTACTCCTCTTCTGCACTCACACCACACAGGCGGCATACACTCCGGAACCTCCCCGTGCCCGGCACTCTGTTCTCAGCGCAGCGCCCCCCGGGGGCGACTGCGATCTTGGGTCCGGGGCCTACTGGAGTGAAACCCGCCGCTGGGGTGAAGCCAGACACCCGGGACCCCCAGCTGGGGTATGGCTGGGAACAACCAATCCTTCCGGCCTTCGAAGCAAGGTCGCTACAGCTTTAGACCTGGGACCAGGTATGTGGTTCTTCACCGAGACCCAGCTTTCTGAAGCTACAATCCCAACAGTACGCAAAGCACTCCAACATGGTGCTTACCAACAACACCGGCAAGTCAGAGTGATCACCGGCGCTGCGGCTCCGCTTAGGAGAACATCCACCTGGG